TTTTAACATATTGTGAAATATTATATTTGATAAATTTTTATTTTTTATGAACATCGAATATTTTTCGTGTTTGGTTCATACAAATAAATAATAATACTATTATATTCGAAAAACTAMATTAAAGTATATAATCCTCTAGTAATACGTACTAGGTTTGAAATTAAATATTTGAAAATTAATATTTGAAATTATTTTAAAATTGCTTAAACATCACAAATCGATATATCATCAACATCACAACTTACTGTGATGTCTAGTGAACATCTTACTGTACATCACAACTTGATTTATATTATATAACTTGTTATGTTCCGCACACAATATTTTATACGTAATTGTATAGTTTATCGAATAAATTATAAGGTTCTCATCTAAATCCAAAAATGTTTGATTCTAAATGATTCGAYGATTTTTATTCATAAAAACGAGCTTATTTTCTTTTTACTTGAATTCTTTYGAAACTGATAAAAAAATAAAACATAATATCCACTCTTTAATATAATATATTTATATATATAAAAGAATATATCCATATATAAATAATCACATACGTATATATTATATACAATAGCGTGTATTGATTGCCGACACAGTGACGTAAAGGATGGACGGCAGAGGGTTCGATTTCTCTATATAGAAATATCATAGCATGCACCAATACAATGACATGGACTCTTAAGGGACAAAAAAAATTCTCATCAAGTAGGGGTTTATTTGCAGATATAAAATGGCAGTATAAGACTTCGATTTTCCGATAAATTATAGATATAAGACGTGGATATTTAAAAATTACCTGTTCTACCCATAAATTGGTGGTCATAATCTGATTTTTCAAGTTCTGAAACAAATGAAACGGGTAATTATTATAAACACGATGTAGTATAAAATAATTGCATAATAATATAAAATATTTAAACACACTTAAAACTGAAAGAATATATAGAAAGAATATTTAACTCCAATACGTTCATGTGGCATATAGGTACATATAGAGTAAAGCACAAACCCATAACAGACATTCAATAAGTTCTATGATTAAACTTTATGCTATGGCATGTACTAAGTCTTTATGTTACACTAGAAACGTTCTATGCCCCGCCTAAAAAAAAAACCCCATTTCTAAAATACACACACAATAAAATACGGACGTATCATATGGACTAAACGTCCCGTACAACCGATACACACTATTAACAAGGAATGGATATTGTTTGTACAACAATTTACAGCAACACAGTGTTTTATTGACAAAACATCATTACAAACCGTCCACACCACCATTTCTTAAATTGGTGATTAAACTTGAAAAATAAATTCCCGTTTGAATAAATGTCATATCAAATAATGTGTTCATATTTCAATTCACCGCGTTGTTCAGATGATCGTAGGACAATATATTTGGGATTATTAACTAAACTTGCTTATTACCTCATGTCTTTATCAAGCTAACTATTACTATCCATACATAGTTTCATACTTAAAAATCTTAGTACTAACCAACCTAATAATGCAATTTAAATATTTTATTTATTACTTATCATATATTTACCTATTACTTACACAGCTGTTTTATTGTGTTATTGTTTAGACTATATTTACTGTTTGATTATAATTATAWTATGGTATTATTATTATGCACATACCCGTTAAATTGATWTAATTTAAAACCCATTATAATCGAAAAAATATGTTACAGCAATTAGTAATATTATACGTTAACTAAACATTTTGCACACAAATAAAATCATATTGCACCTAGTTGAATACTAAGCATCAAACYCGACTTCATTATAATATTCCGTACAATCACGATAGTGTATTATATGGCACATWACGGTAGTTACAACCCAGGTATAAGTGTATTGCAAACGTATCCTAAATAATATTAAACGTCTAATAACAAACAGTATAATAGAATTATAATAACATACACGCTATTAATAAAAAATATAAATCACTAAGCAATTTAGATGATCCCAAACATACGTGGATACCTTTAATCTATAGTATGTACCTCGGTTGTTTCCTATGCAATACATATAGTAATTATTCCGTTTCATCGTAACTTTTAATTAACATGTTTGAGTGTAACCAGTTTCGACWTGCCATCCAAACAAAAGGATCACAAAGATTAAATACGTATTATTCCTTCATTAATTTGTGACAGTTCATCGAACTCCAAAATTGAACCAGTTTTAAATCATTATATTATTATTATTTCTAGAATCATTTATACACAACCAATAACARCTACTAGAAGTAATCTACCATTCTATTTTCCGACTTTTAATTTTCTTTTTTTCTCTCTCATATCTGTGTTATTTTACCACAACTTTTTTTAACGATCGTTTATTACGACGTAAGTATATATATATAATATTAATGTAAACCTCTAAAAACTAGTAAAAAGTRCACGCGTTATTTTATCAATTAAATATTATTATCTTTAAATAATTATTGTACCTTAACACTATATTATAAGCATTATTTACRCGTAGGATTATAGGTATTATTTAACACATTGCACTCAATGCGTACTTCCACAAAATAGAAACGACACAAAATACAAWAACAAACAATAGAATATCGAATAAATCAAATAATTAAATAATCAAATCAATTTAATATAGTATCATAGGCAATAAATATTTATTTTTTCTAAATCATTTCAACAATTACCTAATACTTCATTTTAAATTGATTTATACAACGATATCCAATGCTCATATCTTTTTTACGGAATTTCAATTGAAAATGTAAGTATTTTAATTGTAGTACCTATATGGATTTTTTTAATAATTAAGAGTTTTGTGTTTTGTATACTTATTTATAAAATATTATATTTAGTATACTGAAAATACATATTTACAGTACTCATAACTATCAAATTAATTCAAAAAATATATATCTATAAATTTATACATTTAAATATAATTGTACATGCTAATATAATACCTAGGAAATACTGTGTTTGACTGAAAAATGATTTTATTAATTGGTCACAAATTTATGAACATTGTAACTTTTCAAAAATCATGATCATTTTTATTCACATTAATTAAATTTATTATTTTGATACAGCAATAATAAGTATTACAATGAAGTAAAAGAAAAATATTCATTTAAATAAGAATAAACTAGACAATACAATTTGATTGATAAAACATTCTATAGATACCTAGTAAAATGTTTGATGAACCGAACACAGAGAAATAAACACGGATGAATAGATTCATATAAAAATAATACGATTTATATATTAAACATGATACATCCGGTTAAAAATGTAGAGAATCAAGTTTTAGGTGATRATTGTATTTGTTACAGAAATGCACCACACGCGCCATCGCCATTTCGGAGATACTTTATTAAGCTACACTGTTATAAAAAGCTTATTACAATATCAAATTTACTGAGATCGATTCTGCTTTATAAACCATACACATTTAACCAAATGTTCATAATTTATTCAGCTTAAAAAAAAAATAAACAAACATAATATAAATAAGATATTAATAAAAAAAATGTAGTTGACCTATCATTTATGTAAATTCTTTAATTGGTGAACCGTTAACCTATAATATAAATTATAACATATTTTTTATGTCCCATTAAATGYATACAAGCATCATTATAGAATTACGATGAATCTTATGATATACTGCATCACTCATCAGATTATGCTATTGTCGGGAATACATTTAAATTTTAAACGACAGAGGATATATATTATACGACTAGAATAAATGGAGCAATCGTTATGGCCACGCTTTGAATAGACGCGTTCGAAATCGAATAATCAAACGCCTTCAATGCGATTGTGTGTGATGTTGATATTTTGATAGCTAATAGGATTGCTTTCATTACTGTGCAGTATGCCTAATAAGATGGCAATAGATTTCAGTACCTAAGGCGTTACAGTGCAATATTGTTATTATCTATGTCTTCCAGCCTTTGGGGTACGTTAAAGACCGCCGCCGCATAGAAAATAGCTATATGCAGGTAACTATAGGCAACTGCCATAGCCGTGTGTATCTAACTTTCGGAAAGATAACACTATAATGGTCGTGTGCCAAAAAAAAAAAAATCAATAAAAAAATCGAAATCACACTTACGATACTACACCCCTCTCACCCGGATGGTTTTCCGTCGGACAAAAAGATATTGTTTGGTGCCAAACATTAAGATACCTGCCACGGAGAAACGTTGAATTCTGTACACAACCTGAAATAYCAACACGTCACAGCGATTCGATAAAGGTTTTATATAACTAAATGTAAGTAATTAGTAAGTTATGCATCACTGTTTCATCAAATCTACTTTACATGGCTCTCGACCTMGGTCATTTGGATTTCGCGGCCAAGGCGATCAACCCATGATAATTGCATTGTTTCTGTTTTAGGATATATTTTGATCGAATAATAAAAGTATGGCTTATGTGATATTGACATGCGAAAATAATTATATATTAKATATTAGTTTGTTTTTTTCATTTGTTGAAAATCAATTTTTCTACCAAAATATTTGCACTGAGCTAACACCGCCGTGAAATTAAAATACATAATATAGGTATCTATACGAATGATAACAACTTTTCTGAACACATATAGTTAATGAACTATAGTATATCACAGTGGCGTAGCGATGGGGGTAATCGAGAGGCGGCCGAMTCTCAGTTTTTTTTGGTGGGWKATGGGTGACACTGGTTGGATGGGAAATAATTTGAATTCATAATAACGAATTTAGGAAAATAACACATAAAATTATATTTTAATATTGTCTAATATTGATATAAACGAAAGCTAGTATCCAGTAGGCAGTGGTTACTAACCATTAGTTGGTAATAACACCTGCCTAATAAGTACAATTGTCTGTGAAAAGCAATCACCCCCCCCTCCCCCCACCAACTCACAACTCTATTTCCAATTAAGAGACAAAATTATGATTGATGGGTGGGAGGGTGGTTATCGCAAAATATACTTGCCTCTGAAAATATTCGAGTTCGCCACGCCACTGGTATATATACTGGTATATATTAGTATTAAATACCTATGTTTATTAACTCTATCGGTGTTGTGTGCAAGATAAATAAAATATTTAATTTGTTACATAAAAAAACGGACCTTCTCCAAATACTTAATGGATTACACCAGATATTCAAATTGTTAACACAAATGTTTGGTATGTCTATTGTGAAATAATATATTTTTTTGTCATCGTATGAATGTATTATATAATTCTTAAAATGTTTCAAAGGCAAGTGCTACATTGATGATTCTTTATATCGTTACATTACACCAGATATGTGTTTGTTCAAGCATAACAATATAGAGATACCTATGGATTTGTGTTTCAGGATATGGAAAATCGTTCGTCGCTTACAAAACTGCTTTTGATGGAAACTCGAAATCACCGACATTATTTTATTTTTATTTGCACTAAGYCACATTTTTTACTCGTTGCCACAAGATTTTATGTTGCAGTAATACTGAACGGAGGTGAATGTTMCATTAAGAAGCCAAAGGTCCTAGTCGTTTGATGGGGTTTGCATGAGAAAAAATACATCCATTACGTTCTGAGTTTTTATCGTTTTCCATTTCGAAAAGCGAATTTTTTACAATATACCCAGACTGTAAACAAACACAACACACAATCCTATTTTTTTTTTTTTAAACACTAAATATACCTACGTAAAAAGATAATGATAGAACAATGCAGTAAATGTAGTAAATACACTTTGAATCCCATAGTTTTATTATTCTGTAAGTAGACGGCGCATTATAAAGCAAATAGCAATACATCTAAATTATTTTATTTTCGTAAAACCGTTGGATAACAAATTTTTATAAAAATTATTATAACATATAAATATAAGAAGCTATTTTACTGTATGTTTATTATGTATAGCACTTATGGAAATAATTATAGTAATACCTAATTACTATAGTACTGTTTGACATCATAACATTTTTTTTTTATATATATATATATATATAATACAAATTAATATTATTTTATGCATTCATTAAAGCGTATAGGTCAGGTGAACCTTTTTTGAGCTTAATACTACATTTTTGAAATCAAGAGTCTGATAATTTTGCACGTGCTTAAAGTTTACTTAAAATCACTAAATAATAAATATACCTAGCAATAATAATATAGTACAGAATCAATTTTAAAAATAGGAATATTTATAACTTGTTTCTTTGAATTTTATACAAGAAACATTTTATAAACATCCTAATTTGTTGAGTGCAATTGAAATTTKTCAAACGTGCCACTTTTGGTAAGCGTACCGCGGGTTTGCCACACTTGGTATAGGTACTTGCGTAACGCACAACCTATGTTATTAATGTAACCGTGAGAAACGATTTTTTTTTATACTTATTATTATTTTCTTAGAAAAGTGAGATTTTTCGAGTAGTGTATTTTATTTATTATTTTTAAGGTGCAAGTGTCTTTAGATCGTCGACTCGTATAACCAACGTTTTATAACAGAACGATATTTGTACAAATCGTTTTTTTTTTCAATTCGAATAATACTCAGGTTTTTGTAAATTATCGTCGATTTATTTCCAGCTTTCTTGAAAGGTTTATGCTCCCCCTCAACACCCCACATACACATCCGTATTGCTATTGATAAACTTAAGTTGCCGAGCTTAGTTSGGGAATCCTAGTAGTTTATGTACCGGCGAAAAGTACTGACTATGTTTCAGAAAAATAATGGGTCGTTTTACAAATGTTTCAATTTCGGTCTATACTGAATATAGGTATTTAATATGGAACATAAAAAATAAAACTTTAGATTACTGTACTGTTAGTGATCTGTCTTTTTTATTGTACTTGAAAACCTATTAAACTACTCGTGAATTAAGTCATAATTTTATAATTTATTATATATATGATTCGTAATGAGATTGAAGTTGATTTTTATATGTACTTATTATGCACATAATATGTATATAATATATTTAATCAAAAACCATTATTATAAAATGCTCCTTTTAATTTTTTTTATCTTATATTAGATGAATTTTCACTCAAATTAATCTAGATTCATGTACCTATTAAAAATCTAAAACATTGATATTTGCACATCTGCAACAAAAATAACAGTTTATGAAGTATCTAGATGAGATATTTTTTAACTAAAATTATAATTATGATTTATGTAAGTACCAAAGAGAAAAACTCAGCATTATGTTTTTTTCGTATGTTAAATCATTTTTAACTTTAAAGTCATTTATACAAGGTATAACGTGTAAAACGATACTAATATTTTTTTTCAAGTGAATGTGATCGAATTTTTATATTTATCTTAAATTGTACAGTATTCAAGGCTGAAATTTGTATACAATGACTTTAAAACTTAGCTTTGTAAGTGGAAAATGCGTTTCAAGGTTTTCAATATAATGATAGTTTCATKTTCTGTAAATATTCTGACAAATTCCAAGTGCATTTTTTACAATTTACTTTTAAAATTAACGTCATTATTGTAATAACAAATATATTTCAATAAATTCAGAATATTGGTAGAAATACATAGTGTTTTATTGTGCCAAACGTGTAGTAGTCRTGTAATATTCATGGYATACCACCGTTTTCATTAAATTAAAGAGGTGGTAACTAATAACAATACTTTTATTTTAATGCCTCATTAAGTATTTTAAAGTGTTTTCTTAAACGAAATCATCCATCGTAAACACGTTTCCGGAACAACATATTTTACATTGAGAGAAATTTATTTTTAAATATTTTTAAAGATCGTAATATTTTACAAGTTTTAAGACATTTTTAATTTTTTACTATTATTATTCTTTCTTTCTTTTTGGTGGGGGGGGGTTGAGGGGTTAGCATCAAAATATAATTCCTAAAAGTGAGGCATAATAGAATACAGGGGATAAATTAAATATATACTAGAATTTGTTCAAAGGGACCAAGCACAACTGTAAACAAACAATACCCAAAATGTCAAAATCGGGTTCAGATTCTAGCAAAACATTAACGCCAAAAAAATACTTAAAAACAAATCTATTGTTTTAAATATAGAGTGAGGTTCAAAAAGCTTTAAACACATCTGACTTGTTTAACAAAATATATAATCATGTACCTACAACACACGATTAAACTATGCCTATTACTAATTAAATATGTGTTTATTATTTTATTAATATTAAAATAAATATTTTGACATCAATATTATATAGGTTCAATAGGTACATATAATGTTATAAAATAAATAAAAAATATATTTAATCATTGGTCATTGCGGAATAGTGTTTAACGATTTATTACAGGGTAATACAATTTCTATCGTTCGTCGATCAATTAAGTCATGCAATATGATAATTTATTTTTTAGACCATAGTTGATCCTTATGTTATGAACGAATATACTATATCCTAATGTATTCTATTGCACACAGCTACTTGTTTAAAAATTATAATTAAATTAAAATGTGTTATACCTTGACTTTTCCAATGTTAAAATAGCACGTGTTTATATACTGTTCACATCACACACATAGACGACGTCTTGTGCATAATAATATTATAACAACTTAATCGCGTAAGGGGACATCCCTGTTATTGTATAGCGACGTTAATTAACCGCACTCCATATCATCTATGATGCGCATCTCCACGAAGTTATGACGACGTGTCGTTTAGTTTTCTTAATGTAGTTATATAGTATTATGTACCAGATGATCATTTCTAAAAATTTAATTTCAGCATGTACCACGTGAATACTATAGGCACTGTACATCGAGTATCACGCATCTCTCTCTCTCTCTCTCTCTCTCTCTCTCTCGTTGAATAAATAAATAAATATTATTACCATAAAAAAACTTTTTTTGGGATATCACATATTTTTCCTTAAAAAGCTGTAACGTCTCTCGTACTATCGTTGAACAAACCCAGCATGTAATGTAATTAACATACATAATTTATTAAATTTAATTAATTCCTAGTTAAGATTAACAAAAAATTAAATATAAATATTTTTACAGTTGCTACTTGTGTKGAATTGACTTGTATAATAGCAAAGGTAGGTAATTGCTGTGAACTTAATTTGAATTTAACTATTACAGTATTCCCTATGCTTAAATAGATTCCAGTTGGAAATTACCACAGTGTAAATTATCTTTC